TTCATTTCTGGATATTCCTTCTGTTTATTCATGTCTTTCACAAAGGCATCTTGACCTCCTGCAATGATTTGCATCTCTTTCAATAAACACAGTGCAATTATTGTAACTTACTTCTTATTGCCTGTCAACCCCCAGTCCCTGTAGCTGTCTTTTTAGCTGCCTAAYGACAGAAAAAGAAAATTATCTGAGTGCTTCCTATATATCCATTATCTATAGGCAAAATCCATCTCTCTCATCTTCTAGCATCTGCATCTGAAATACTCAGTCTTACTTATCGTTAGCTAACTCATTCTTTTCTATCAGGACCTGCTGCCTGGAGCACTAGTTAGTATTTCTCCGTCAGAGAGCTCCCGTGTTTCAGTCCCTTCACTCAGCACTTCATTCGTCAGCCTTTCGAAAGCAAGAGGAGCTGCTCCAAATTCAGAATCTGTTCCATGATTTTTCTCTTCTTCCACATGCCATTCSTGGCATGCCAAGCATTATAAGTGTTCATGGCATAATCGCACTGGTCTGTGTCTGGTTTCTGCTCAGCGTCCTCTCTCCACCTSACAGCTGCTTCAGTCCTGACGGAGTCCTGCTGTTCAGCGGGATCCTACACCCCCAGCTCTGCAATTCTGAGTCTCCACAGCACATCCTTGCTACCAAATGCAGAGCAAGGAAGACAAAGTAACAGTGAATGCTACCAGCAAGCTCTTCCAGGAGGGGGCTCTCAGATGTGATTCTCTCTCTCTCTCTCTCTCTCTTTTTTTTTTTTTTTTTTTTTTTAATGGATAAATCCTAAACCGAGGTCAAGAAAGGGGAATGCAGTACCATGGTACCACCACAATGAGGCATGTGATGCATTGTTTTACCAAGAGCTGAGGCAAACCCCCTTTCTGCTATGCAGCATTTTTATCTCTTTTTGGTCTCTGGTGAATTTTTCCAGGTTCTGTTCAAAAGTAAAGATGTTCAGAGGAGAAGGTTCTTTCCTTTGACATGATAGCTCCATTATTGCAAAAAAAAAATGGTTAAAATGATTTAAATTTTTCCTTTTACAAAAGGAAAAGKAATGTTGTGCACTTTCAACTACTCAGCTGCATTCTCCTGAAAACTTTCAGTYTTAAAAAGATAAAAATGACTTCCATTTGGTTTTCAGCTATTCATGTTGTTCACAATGTGAATGCATTTCTATAAAATAAAGGTATTCCTACCGCCGTATTTTRCCTGTAGGAGGAGTTCTTCAATGACACTTGCTAGTGCGAACTCCTGTGAATGTATTAATCACCAGGAAATTCAGGTACAGCCCTGTGATGACTTCTAAGCTGCTGGCTATGTTTCTCTTCAATGTATGAAGAGAATTCACGTCATTGCTCAAAGACATTGCTGGCGGCAGAGAAATTCTGCTTCATGTTTTGACAGTCCAGGCCAGTGGTGCTGAGTGAGTAGGACTTCAGTAAAAAGTACTGACATGCAGAAGCTCTACTTAATGTSAAAAAGGACTGTGAAAAAAAACCCATATGTTGGATAATTCAGCTATTTCAGAAACTGTATTAGAGGCATTTTGGTTTTGCATCTTAATTATTTCAGTGAGTCTCAGTAGTTTAATTAAAYGATGCATTCACAAGTACATGATATTTGTTTGCCTTCAGTAAATAATACCTAGACTAACCTATGTAGGAGGTGGGGAGGTGAGAAGTAGGGGGTGACTGCAGCCAGCTTGTTCCCCCCAGGACACTGCACTGGTCTGGGTGGTCCCAGCCACACACAAGCTTCTTGGACCTTTCTCCAGCACATCACTTATTCAGGTGAATGTTTAACTCAAAACCAGAAACAGCAGAAGCTGATTGTTACCATAAATTTAACAATAATGAATTGTGGGACAACAAATCATTATTAATCTCAACTATAATTTTAGAGTTTTTCTCAACCTCATCCCTTCACTTYGTCTTTCCCAGAGAACACTCTCCCTTTATAAAAAAAAGCACAACTGCATCCTAAAACCTTTTAAAACTCTTGYGCTTTATTGCTTTGGCACTTCCCAGAGTAGCTCTTTTGCTTACTCTGCTCCCTCCAAAATTAAATTTCCAATGGAGGAGATCCTCAGCCAGCCGAGCTCTACCAACGACCACGCTCCTTCGCTCATCCAGATGATCCAGTCCCCTCTTATTAATCACAGGTTATTTCCCCATCCTCCAGGCAGATTGCTTGCACGTTGTTGGCAGGGTTCCTGTGTCATCTGTTCATTCACTAATAAAACTATTCAGCATTTATTGGGCCAGTCTGGCTCTGTGCATGCAGCAGCAAAGCAGCTATTGATTGCCTGATGGGGAAGCAGGATCCAGCTGTATGAAAGTAGCATTACTTTGTATTCTGCAAGCTCCATGCAAACGACAACGTGCTTCATTCACTAATGGTTGAGGTGCATATTGCTTGTGTCATAGAGAAAAGGTATCGCTGCTGTGGGGGGTTATTTATTGTTGGGAGGATTTCAGAGTCACGTCGGGATGGGCAGTCGCGTGTTAGGCTCCGGCAGTGACACACCGTAATAACAGAAAGGCTCAGTGCCAAACACTGCACTCTTAAGGGTGTTGAGAATACGCAGTCGTTGTTGCCTTATTGCATMTATCAAGTAAAATTGTTAGATAAAAACAGAGGGTAAAGGATGAAGTCTTTCCAGCGGAAAGGAGCTGTATGGTCTCACTTTTACCAGCTGACACCATTAATGCTCTCGCTTTCTGTGATTGAGAATATTGCACCAAATCCATTAGACTTTAAATGAAATTGCTCTCCGAAAGGGTAGCAAAATTATGAAGATAAACCATATGTGCTTGAAAGAACAGAAAATAATCATTGATATAGTTGGGTTTAAATCAATGATGAGACTGAACGTTTCTAAGAGTGTTCCTGTGGGATGATATTGCTTTCCCAAGTCTCTTATAGTATATCTTCAGAGATAGCAGGTATTAAAATAATACAAAGTGACTTTAAAAAATGAAAGGACACTTGACATTTTGCAATGTGTATTTTATTTTGCTTTTTAAATGGTGATGCTTTTAAAAATTTGCCTATAAAGGAGTGTTTTAGAGAGGTTCTTATTATAGCATTCCAGTTTGTAGCACAGAATATAACTTTCCATGTAACAAAATGCACAAGTACAGAGGTAACCTGCAGACAAAGAATGACCTACATAAAAACAGATACAAGTAAGTATGTGTATCTCATTATCTATGATACATAAATACCTACTACAGAGGTACAACCTGAGCTGTATTTTTTTTGTACTGTATAAAAAGAGAAAAGCATTAAAAGTCAAGGAAGCAGTGTGTGGGGACTGACTTGCTCCCCAACCATATTATTTCTCCCTGAAATATGCATGATAAAAATGCTCATTTCCCTTGGCTCGTATTTTGGACCATGTCTGTTTTCACTGCAGTAACAAAGTCTTACAGATTTAACATCTACACTTGCCATATAGACCCTGAATCCTGTGAAGATTTAAGTGCCTGGCTAATTTAATGCATAGAGCAGCCCCAGTTACTTCAGTTCTGCATGTGGAACAGTAATGAAATAGAGCTCTTATTTCCATGGCCATTATTTTTGAGTAACCAGTGCTTTCAGTTTTGAAGAAAAAAAATACTTTTTACTATAGCAGCAGTTCTCTGAATACCAATAACTTGTATCCAGATGTATTTATAGCTATGGTTTCTCAATAAAAGTAAATAGAATAGAGGTGTAATAGCATTCCAGCTAGAAAGCTTGGGGGCTTTCTAGCACATGAGCCAGGAGACTTGTGTAGTGTGCATTGGCTGGGAACTCTTTTCCCTCAAAAGCCTGGTCTCCTCCTCCTCTCCCCACGGTGCCCTCCTTCCCTCTTCCAGCAGCTTGTCCTGCTCTGCGCTGCTCCAGGTCACACTGGCCCCGCTGCTGTGCGTCTCGCAGTTCGTTCTGTGCTGGGCCTCTGTAGCCCTCARTTTCTCTCCTCCTCCTTTTGCATGTCCAGGGGGAAGGTGTGTTGAATGTGGAGAATCACCGGGTGGCTCCACGGTTTTGCACAGCGCTAAGCGCAGCCTTGGCTCTGCCAAAGCCCAGGGGGCCGTTGCACACGCAGAGTCATGCGTTGTGAGGGAAGTCAGGGGCTGGAAACCCTGCAGAGCAGAATAGCTGCAATTACAGCTTGTGGAGGAGAGGAGCCAGCCTCAGGGATGCCTTTGCTCCTAGTGTCCATGCGTTACGCTTCCCAGGTGTCAGATGAAGCACTTCACTCCCCACTTCATARAATCAAGATTTAAGCTTTGAAGGATGCAACATTAATGCCTAACTTTGACGGGAAACACATTTTGCACAGGGAGTCTAAACTTTCTGCACATGGTAAAGGAGCATTTGTAGTACTAGCAACCAGAAATGGTGAGGAATGTCTAGCTTTTCTGCATTTCTGCAAGATGTGGGGTAGCAAAAGATGACCTTCTCTGTCTAGACTTCCTTTGTTAGCCTTTATAGTTCAACTTCTGCAAATTACAGGATTTTCTAAGTTATAAAGGAAGAAGCCACCTATATTGATGAACAGTTACTTTGGATTAACAGATTACCTTGGATACAACAAGAGCTTGCTTTATGTAAGCCTTTAATCTCTATAGACCATCCCTGAGGGAAACAAGAGCACTCCTTTGACTATGGTAGATAAACGTATCTCTTCCCCAAAAAAATTTTACACAGACTTCCAGCTCTTATGTCAAGCTATACTGTGTATACACTTGTTTTTATATAAAACTGTAATTTGGGGGATATTGGAAATAACTGGAAGTTGCAGAGCAAGTCTTCTGAAATATTTTTCACATGTTCTCCTGCTACCTTTAATCACATTCACAAGGCAATGTTAGTCCTTCAATTACAGGTCTATGAATATCACTGATGCAGTAAGATCAGGCCTCTGTGTTGCCAAAGGCCATCTTAGCTGGTCATGATACTTATTTTGGAAATTATTTTTATTATGGAAACTACTTTTATTCCCTTTTCCACTCTAGGCTCTTCAGACATACCAGACTGATCCTGCCATGAGAAAGATGCTAACCCAGCTGTATTTCTATATCATGCCTGTGTTTAATGTGGATGGATATCATTTTAGCTGGACATATGTAAGTAATATCAGTAGTATTCCTCAAAAATTGTTCAGAAAGGAAAGACTGAATGTTATTATGTAATTCAAAAGTAACTTCCATACTTTCTGGTTCATCACTTTATGTTATGCAAAAAAGAAGTAAATGAATACAGTTAAAATATTGCACTATCACAGAATCACAGAACCATTAAGGTTGGAAGGGACCTCTAGCGATCATCCAGTCCAACCCCCTGCTCCAGCAGGGACACCCAGAGCACGGCGCACAGGGTGCCATCCAGGCGGGTTTGGAAGACCTCCAGAGAAGGAGACTCCACAACCTCCCTGGGCAGCCTGTGCCAGGGCTCTGTCACCCTCACAGGGAAGAAGTTCCTCCTCACATGCAGATGGAACTGCCTGTGTTKCAACCAGTTCCAATTGCCCGTTGTCTTATCACTGGTCACCACTGAGAAGAGTTTGGCCCCTTCTTCTCTACATTCTCCCCTCAGATATTTGTACATACTGAGAAGATCCCCTGTCTCCTTCTCTTCTCAAAGTATGTTAACTGGAGCAGTTACTATTAACCTTCTCAAACTATGTTAACTGGAGTAGTTACTATTGTACTGTTTACATTTACTATTGTTACTATTTACTAAACTATTTTAAAATTATGATTAGGATCGATTTTGGAGAAAAACAAGGTCAAAGAATTCAAGGTTTCGGTGCCATGGTGTTGACGCTAATCGCAACTGGAAAGTGAAATGGTGCGGTAAGTCTGGAAGCACCTTGGTCCATGTGGTCAGGTCAGATTATCCTGTCCTTAATTATCCAACACACTAAGTAGGTTAGTATGAAGTGTTCCCTTTTCCATAGGTAAAACTGCAGCTACTTTCCCCATAATGTTACAAGATTTTGAATTATCCTCCTAACTTCTAAAAAAGAAACCAAATGCCCTGAATTTAGGAGTACCACACGTTAAAGCTTTTCTGGGCAGTGTGGCAAAAGTGAAGACAAGGCAAGTAGAAATGGCACATGAGGTATTTTGTATTTCTGGAATCATGCATGTCGTTTGAAGGACATTTCAGAATTTATCTGAGTACAACCTTAAGAAAATTTTAATCTTTTTTTTTTAATTCATTACTTCTCTGAAATGGCAGTAGCTTGGAGGCTTCAGATTTGTTTTTCTACATCGTAGAAAAGTGTTAGTCAATATTTTAATATTTTTAGAGATTTTTTCTCCTTTTTTATTTATTACTAGAGATTTAATACAGAAGAAAATGCTTGTAAGTGTGTAGAGACAAGCTTTTAAATTCCCAGAACTTCCGTAAATCCTTATCATGGAAGTTGACCTCAATTTGGRGTTTAGACCATAGCAGTGAGGAAATGATAACAGAAGAAAGAAGTGGATCTATTAAATAAAAAAAAAAATGGTGTTTTATTAACTCTTGCAGCAATATAGTACAACTCTCACACAGGAGAAGTATCTGGTATGGCAGCAAATAGTWGCACTTCCATATCTAATCATCTAATTATCTAATTAGATTAATCTATTATCTAATTATATTCCTGGTTATTTCTGCTTTATATTCCTGGTTCTTCTGCTGACCTACTCTCTAATCTTGAACAAGTTCCTTGAAGATCCTCCTTTGCAGCKATTTCCTCCTTCCCTGTCTCTCTCTGCCTTGTCTGTTTACCTTATAAACTTACAAAGGCAGAAACTGTGTTCACAAAGGGTAGCACAACAGCTCTTCCTTTTGCCCATCCCTTTCCCATTTGAAATCTATGATTTTGTCTTTAAGTAGTTTTCTGAAAATGTTAAGGATAAGTGTGAATAGTCTGCCTGCAGTGATTATAAATGAGGTGGGAGAAAACAGAAACACACACCAAAAAAAAAAAATGGCAATACAAGTACTCATGAAATATATTTTCATTTTTATCAACTCACAGTAAACAGATACAGAAGCAGTCAGAGAAAGCCTACATTAGACAAGGATGTCTCCAGTACATAAGAGCCAACTCCCAGGGCTGCTACCATGGCCTTTCAGRAAATTTTATGATGGAAAAATAATCTAAAGCTGGGTCAAAGTCCTGCATCACTGTTACCATCTTTTACCTAAGATTATAAATGAGAACTGCAGCTAGTTTTAGCATATAGATTTATTATGTGGAAGATGTCCACTTGCTACCCAGCCATTGTATTAAAATACAACTACTTTTTCCTTATCCTGAAAGCTTTGTGTATTTATGAGCAAAAAAATGGTATTTTCTAGGCTGAGTGAAACTCCAGCAATGCCCACATGTACACACATGCTGTTTTGTGATCCACTATTTGTTGCTGAACTAAATAGGAAAGATAGGTCCCCACCCCACGTGTAAAAAATGGAAATTTATTCAAGGTTGCTCATCATCTCTCCATGCACATGCTCTGCCTCTCAAAGTGGACCCCAGACTCCATCTCATTTTCTGTTAAAACAGAGTTTCACAGAAATTTAATATTTTGGCCGAGAATAAAGAGCTCTTTCATGGGCGCCTGGTGCTCAGAAGCTCCTCGCCGTGGGCCTCATGTTCTCATTAATGTGACACTAAATGAGGCAGAGGAGAATCTGGATCATATCACACTTTGAGGCTTGTATAATCGTGATGCATGCACAATTTTCGACTGCGCATGCTTGTAAAAACCCTTTAATTCAGTGCAGCCACACTTACCCAGACGAGCCTTGAACATCACCGCGGGGTTCGCAGGCCGGTGAGCTGTGGCAGAGAGCAGCCCCAACAGAGCAGCACCGGGCACGAGGCTGCTGGCTCCTTGGCAGAGATAATGCTGCATCCCTCTTTTGACCAAGTCCTRTGATGCTGCTTCTGTATTCTCCAGGGACTTGGCAAAGGGATATATCACTGATTATGGTGGCTTTCACTCTGCAGCTATCTGTGCTTAAAATAGTGTACAGTAACTGCATACAAGCCCAGGTGAATCCTGACTGCAAGATCTGCAGGATGGAGATGCCCCTTATAACATACCTATGTGCTGTAAGTAGAGGTTAAAGTTCAGTGGGTTAAAGTTCAATAAATAAATAGCAATTTTAAGCCAATAATATACTTAGATACTTAGATACTTAGAACTAAAATATTCTACAGCACAAATCCAGATAAAGGGGGGAAGTAAAATTTCTAGCATATCCCCGTCATGCACTGAGGACATGCACTGCACATCATGCACTGACAGGAGCAGAGCTTGCAAGGAGCTTTGAGGCTTAGGCTCCCGCTCATCTGTACTCCCACAGCCTTGCCAAGCAACTTGGTTTTATCAGTCTCTGCACACACGTTGTACATTTGATCTGATGAGGGATGTTGGAAGATACTTGTGCCCCTGCAGTGTGCTGCTAGGGACAAAAATAAGGCAGCATGTTAACTTCTCCAGTTTCATTTTCTTCTCATGACTGTAACTTTGACATTTCACAGGAGTTTATATTTACTATATTTTTTTTTCTTCCTCTTTGTGCTACTTTAAAGACCTTTCAGTATGAAAACTAAAGATCTTCATATATTCTCTATGGGCGCCATGGAAACTCTCATTCTTTCCCAGCCAGCTTAAGGATGGGATGTTAAGGAACAGCATTAATTGCAGCTGGGATTGCCATAGGCATCAGTTTAGAGCATCTTTTCATCACCAAAAATCACTAAACTGAGATGCTTTTTACCACTTTGCATTTAGCTTGGGTCATTTTACATTTAGCTTGTAGCTCGTTCATCAACAGTGATGTTTATGTTTGAGATTCATGGTGATACAACATGGTAACAGAAGATGAAGTATCCACCCAAAAAGCAAGAACTCTTGGAGGTTCTGTTAAATGGCTTTCCTTTAGCTTTRTTATCTGCCAAGAAATTGAAGCAGGGTACTCTTGGGATTCAGATGACTTGATGGCCATCTGTTCTGCAGGGAGCAGACCATCTGCCCCCAATATAATCATTCCATATCCACTGCTATCTAAGCGCTGATACCTTTTGAAATCCCCACTGCTGGCCATTGAATGATAGCCTCCTGTTTTCATATTATAAATGAAGCAGCAGTATGACATTTTTCTACTATTTTTTTTTCCTGGCATCAGGCTGATTGCCTAACCTTGTTATAGCTCATATTATTATCTACTACCACAGCACACTGCTCATTTCTTATTATTTGGAGATGGGACTACTTATTCTATGGAGGAAAGCTAATAAAGGACTGTTTCCCTAGGTCCCTGATGGCAGCCGAGAATATCACAAACAAACTATTATTACTCGCTAGGTCAGTTTAAAGCAGGTGGCATTTGGAAATCAATGGATAAAAGATCACAATTGATTTGCATAAATATTGTTCCTTTAAGCCCAGTCCCTAAGCTGTAAATGAGATGGTGGTTTCAGTCCAGGGTTGCTAAATGATAAAGGAGTCTCTGCCCCATCTCCTTTTCTGGGTTTCAGCTTTCACTTCCTTGTGAGACATTACATGTAGGTCTCACTTCTGTAGCTCCCTGCCACCTGAGCAGGTGGACGTGTTGAAAGAAATCCTCACAATTAAACCCTTCACCCAGCAGAAGATGAAGCCATGTGCAACCCTAGATGATTTCTATTTTAACTACCTGAGCAATCATCCCATGCAGCTTGTCATTTTTTTTCCTATAAGGTTTGCAAGAGTAAAAATAGGGAGTAGTTACGGACTATTTTCATGTTTTAAAGCAGTCTCTAAGGTAATGCTTGATGAGGTTATCTGCCTGCCCTTGTAACCATCATTGCAGTARCTGCAACATTAACATGCACTTAAGAGCTAGACTTGTCTTGACAGTGACTAGTGAAAGAGGTATAGCTCTCTGATTTCAAATAGACCACTGAGACCCCTCAGCAGTTTTAATAAAACCTCCATGCAGGAGCTTCATCAAAAAATATGTCCCTTATATGAAAAGCTAAGGAAGAAAATACAGAGAAATCAGGTTCTCCTTTATTAATATTGAGTTAAAAATACATTCCCTGAGGAGTGCTGGCCAACGGGCAATGTGGTGTGTCTATAAGTTGAGTGAGGAGATTGCTGTACTGAGGTCCCACTGGTTCATACTCCTCAATCAGAAAAAAAGAAGCAATTTGATTATTGCTTTTTACTCTTTTGCCCCCACACAGGTAAAGCCAGAATTTGACCCTTACAACTTCTCTGCAGTAGCTCACATCAGCTTTCTCTTTCAATCTGTAGATGAAGGTGCTTCACTTCACCCATGCGATGACACCTACTGTGGTCCCTTCCCTGAGTCCGAGCCCGAAGTTAAGGCTGTTGCTCATTTTCTTCGCAAACACCGCAAACAAATAAAAGCCTATCTGTCCTTCCATGCCTATGCTCAGATGCTGCTATACCCCTACTCTTACAAGTATGCAACAATTCCAAACTTCAGCTGCGTGGTAAGTGTGGAGGAATGTGCTTCTCTGCTTTTTGGTTCTGAAAAAACTTTGTTGTGAGAGAAGACTTGTTTCTTTGATGCTTTGCATGTACTTAATAGAGAGCAGTATTTATCCTGGACCTGCCCACAGTTTCATTTCTGATTACCTGTTACTCCAAATAATTCAGCAGCAATTTCATTAAATTAGCCTGTTGTCCATCAGTTTCTGTAAATTATTTCAAAGGATAAATTATTGGGTTTTAATGATAGTATTTTATGTAATTTTCATAAATAATAATGGGAATTATGTAGTTAAGTCATTGGGCATTCAGCTGAAATTCTCCCCCTTTATGCTCAGAATTTCAGCCTAAGTGCTGGATGCGCAAAGATTCTTCAATTTTAAGAACAAAACAGAAGTAAAAATGTAGTAGACTTTTTAAAAAGTAAAATCTCTATCACTTTATGTGTCATCTTGCTCAGCCATAGGTTTTGGGGGGTTTTATCCCTTTCAGGCAAGCAATTTACATCAGATGCTTTGAAGAGTCTGTCTATTATAAGACTAAATTGTTAATAGTCTTTTTTTTTTTTTGATGTAAGCCTATCTAGTTACAAAGAATATACACATTTCTTATATTCCATGCTCATCCAAAAGCAGAACTATTTCCTCTGCTCAGAGTTTGAGCTCTGTTTTCAGTCAACACCATGAAAACCTCCCTTTAGCCTGTTCTCATAGGGAAGTTTTCTCAAGCTTCACTTTCTCCTGCTTCTGCTTACAGACACACATTGCACCAAGCTTTCTTTAGCCCTCAGTTTGCCCAAAATTTCTGTCTTATTTTGGCCTTGAATATTGGAGTGACTCTTAACTTCCTAGTGTCATCTAGTTTACTCCAAACGAAACTTAACTGCATCTTCGGTTTATCCCAGGCAGAATAGATGATGKTTTTAGTCTCTGGAGCTTCATGGCAATTTCACTCAGCTGTCATTTTAGGAAGACAAACAGCCAACACTGCACAGAGTGTGCTCTCGTTTTTTGCTTATTTCTGTTAAGACACTTAATTTCACCATTCTAAAAATGTCCTGCCTGATGTCATTCTTGGGAAACAGAGCAAACCAGAAGTCAGCAAAGCAACCAGAGCAGGTACAAATGGGAGACTTGTGGATGCTGGCAGTGCTGTCCTGCACTGTACATGATGTGCCATTCAGCACATGCTCACGCCAAGTAAAGCCGTGAACCCGCTGCTTATCTTCCCTACCTTTAGAGACAGGGCAAAGGGATAAAGCTCCCCAAGTGAGCTACTGACTGCTACTCATGAAAAAAAGAAAAATAAAAAAAATGGAAYTGGGAATTTGAAAGTACAGGATCTCCCTTCTTTGAGGACCAGCAGGTGCAAGCAGCCTCTTTTGAAAAACCTGGCAAAACAGCAAAAGAAAAGGTCATGATGTTGGGAGGAATCATCAGTTCCTATGCAGGAAGATGAATGTTGGATATCTCTATGAAAATACCCAGAATTATACAAGACAACACTGCATCAGGAAATTCATTCTAAGGAAAAAGACTCTTGAATTGAGGATTTTCACATATACCAGTAAATTTTTAATACATTTTGTTCTTGTAGCTTGAGAGTTATTTCCATTTTGAGAACACATTCTACCTTTCCATCCAAAGCTTTTAGACAAAAGGAACTCATTTTTTGATGAGTGGTAGATGTTCCCTGCTTTTGTAAGACCTTGGATCTCTCAGTTAGCGTCAGGGAGAGTGGAGCAGAGACCTAAAGCAACAAAGAAAGGCAACAGCCTTGGACAGATGAAAGTCCAATTCCAGTTCTAAATGTTCTGCTGATATTTCGTATCTTTTACACCTTTTTATTGCAGTGGAACAAAAAGGAGGGAGGCCTGMATAAGTAAATGAAATAATTTCCTATTGTTAGAAAAGTTCAGTTTGGGCGTTAGAGGGAAAATGAGTGGAATATGTTGCTTATTTATTCGTGCATTTAAGTATTTGCCCATAGCCAAAGGCTCCTTCACCTGGTGGTTCCTAAATGCATAATCTTCAATATTTTATGTGTCTATCATGGTCACTTAAGCTGAAGTTCCAGTTCTCATGGAGAATTATAATGAGTTGAAAAGAAACAGTGTCTGCTTCCTGCTGCTGATGGAACAGGCTTTGCCAGTCCACATGGATTGTGCTGAGTGGACAACTGTAGGACTCCACATGCACAGCAGATGATTAATGTTTACTGTTAATAAGGGGTCACAATTAATCCTAAGCAAAAGGAAGGATGTGTGTGTCCGGGTCACAATGTACTGGTGAGCTGTCAGTTACCATTTCAATTAAAGTGTTCAATTATTCAGAGTTGCTTTGAAACTGGAGAGCTGTGCGCTGAACACAACATGCATATTCTGCTCTAATTTAGGCACAGGTCTCTTATTAGCGCTGTCCTGAAATCTGTTCTTTTAAGATACTTCAGTGAAATTATACTTTTAGATTGAAATAAGCAACAGAAATATTCACCCATCCGGAAGGTTTCAGATTTCATTTGCTGTTTGTTCCGTTTCTTCCTGTACAGCCATTTGCCTGAGTGTTTCCAGTGACCTCATATGGCACAACCAATTTTGTGTATCTCTTTATAAAATCTGATAATATCATGTCAAGCTTTCTCCTTKAGGGTGTTCAAAGACTGTTTATTCAGATCAGATCTGCATTGTGGATGATGCAGGTCAGAACCGTCCCCCTTTCTGGGTACGTAACCTCAACAGCTGTGGCGAGCAGCATCCCCCAGGACTAAGCCCCGCTCGTTCCCAGTGCCCGGAGAGGCTTTCCCGTCTGCCAGGCACGTACTTGGGCCCCTCCTCGCTGACCTTTGCATGGTTGCTGCCTTCGCACAGAGCGCAGGGCTAATGTGCTGTATCCAAGTGGGCATTGCCAAAATATTTTTTCAGGATGTTCTCATCAGGTTTTGGAGGATTTTTTTTTGTCTCATTGCTGTGCAATGTGTAACTCATGTGTGTGGAATCTTTCCTTCCTCATTATGTTTCCTTTCCAYGATACATCTCCCGGGACACCGCTGCCGGTCGCTCTCAGTTCCCTCAGCTGAGCCTGGCGTGCGTTCTGCCCCAGTGCACTACCTGTGGTCAGGCCTTCCCAGCTGCACATCGTGGCTCCGGGATCCTACGTGCCCAGCTGCTGCCAAACTGCTGCTGACCAAACCTGGCACCTGGGGCTTCCGTGCCAGTGAGGGACAACAGCCCTGGGCCAAGGCAGGGGCTCCTCGGGGCSCTGCGAGGCAGTTTTCCCACTGCCATGGGTCTCGCTGCCAGCCCTGTAGCTGCACATCTCACCCCATCACGGGTCTTGTCTGTCATGGACTTGCACAAGTTGAGATGTCTGCATGTGTAAGAGGAGGAATAGACCCAAAAGACAGCATTCCCTGTCCTTAGGCCTCCCTCTGCCACCTCATGTTCAGTGCTAGGGTGAGTGAGAAGTTACTTTTCTACTTGAACTGACTCSCACACCTAAACCCTGCAGAAGTTCCCAGCAGTGATAACTGTTTCTACCAGCTTCTATCATGATAAAATCTCCTATGGAGAAGCTAAAAGAAGAGAGACAAGCTGAAAATGYCAAGCCAGAGTCTCTGGAAATATCTTCTCTGAACTGAGAAAAAACAAATGCCAATAAGACAATCAAACAAAAAATCTAATGATGTCTAGGGAATTCTTGTAGTGGAGTAAAAAATTGTTCTTCCATTCAGAAGTCTTTTCTACGTGTAAAGAAAACCAACCAAAGCCATTCTATAGGGCCAGTACGGCCAGCAAGTGAAAATGACATTTTTTTTTTTTTTTTCTGGAATGACGTTTTTCTTTAGCTTCTTTACTAGACCTGAAACGGGTCTGTAATGAAAACACCTGCACTAGCCAAGCCAAAGGTTAGCCAGAATCCTCATTCTTGACAGCAGCAGATGAGTGGGAGCTTAGTGGAAGAGGATAAACGGAAAGGCGAGTGTATTGTAATCCTGCMCCCGGGCACTCAGCCAGTGTCGGCTGAACAACGCAAGGACCAAGTCACAAAAACTTGCAAGACCTGAATCCTACAGCTCTTCAGGTAACAAAAATAAAATAAACATTACAGCTTCAGAGGAAAGTTCAAAGTCCATCACTTTCAATTTCTGATCGTGTTCATTTGCTAAGTCTCTATAGGGAGATTTCTCTGCTTCAATTCAATAATTCAAGATATTCTCTGCTTTCCATGTACGTTCTCCCTGAATCTTCCCTGTAGGATCATAACGTTCACTTTTCTTCTGACTATGTGCATCTTTTTTCCTTGTTTGCAAGAGGGAAGTGTATGTGACGCTGAACGTGTGGTAGGCCCAGCTCTCCACACCCAGTTTCATGGCCTGCCACGAACCTCCTGAACAGACTGCATCGCTGCRGATCCCGATGCAGTGTATGCCACGCCGAAACCGCAGCTCTGCGGTAGAGGAAAGGGTTTTCCAAGTCTGCATCATCTGGTCTGGGGAAAGTGAGAGCATCAACGAACACTAACCTGCCCGTCACAGGTTCAGGAGTGGAATCAGCTTCTTCCTTCTTCCCGCCGTGTCACTGGCCACTGTGGGATGTCCCCAGGAGATAATTTCTGTTTCACAATAAGCCCAGCCAAGATGGGCTGTAGTGGATGGGTCGCACAACCACAGACATTGGAGGGAAACACTTGTGTGGCTTTTAAACTGCATAAAAAGACAATTTTGTCTCGCTGTGACCTATATTTGGTGTTGCATACATGCAATATGTACCAAAAATTCCAGCTATTTAACGGATGATCACTSACAGTGCAGTACACTTCTTTACACCACAAAAATACTGAGTCAAATTTATAGTGCTAGAGAATTGCTGTCAGTAAAAATAAATAATATATTTATCCTTTACAGTCATTTTAAATTTGCTTCCACAGCCTTGTGGAACACAGCATTGCATCAGAAGTAAATGATCTGTAGCTCAGGTTCCAATTCCATTACAGCATTTAATGCAAAATCTAATTTATGGATTTGTTTTTCTCCCCCTCACAGGAATCTGCAGCCTATAATGCTGTTAATGCTCTCCACTCAGCTTATGGGATAAGATACAGATACGGTCCTGCGTCTAGCACTCTGTGTGAGTTTCCCTCTGAATCAAATGTGTGACTTTGACCTACCTACAGTTAAGAAGGGGATTGCCTTTATTATGACCAAGGAAGCAAATACAGTTTAAAGTGAACTTTGTCCAACTGTGGAGAGTGAGGAAGGCAGAAGAGGAAGTTTTGTAACTGCTTCAGTCAGTTGATTGCAATAAGATTCAGGCAACTGATGCAATAAGAGAGATTAAAATGCAATACATCTGAAGGGGGAAATCCAGCAAATAATATATCCAGAACATACAAAAAGAAATAGAACAGAAGACCTTAAAAGCATGTTTTTCACAGGTGCTGTAAGTGCATTACTTCATTATGAAACATATGGGAGAAAGTAGTTCAAAGAAGKTTTCATCTTTCACCATTACTTTGTCTCTCCTGTGAATTTGTGATAGCTACAGGTATACATATTACARGTATACATATTACTCATTCTAAAATTGAAGAGGGTCACTTTAAAACCTAGATTTCAAATGTCTCAGTGCCTAGATAATAAATGACAGCAACAGTATCTTTATTCAGACATCTTCTGTTTTTCAAAGGGCGATTTCAAGTGCATTTTCCCCTACAGCAAAATATTTTTAAAATATGGCTTTTAAATATTTAACAGCATTTGTCAGCTGAGCTTTCCATGTTGACAGGTCAGGAATAAAGTTCAGTAGGTTTCAACAAGACCCATTTTTTTACTGAGGCTATTTGGGTGAATGTGAGACTATATGAGGCCTCAGTTCTCATGATAAGGAAAACGGAATTTGAAGAAGTGAGAGGCTTAATAAACTGCAGGATCTCTCACATGTAACCTCCTGCTTCCCTTTGCTGCTGATGAAGACAGCTGTGCTTTGGATGTAGAGCTCCGCGAGCCACACTCTCGTGGGCCTGCACCCCCCAGCCCTCATCTTGTCCCGCATCGGTGGTCGCCAGTTCAGAAGAGCAGCAGTGTGAATTAGTGGAGCAATGGAGTTGTACAGAAGAACACAGGCCACGTGAGAGAAGGATCTTTATCTAAGTATAAGTGTCTTGGATAATCAACATATGGGCAATAAGGAAAAAGCACAAGAAACACTCCTCTTGAAGGTTTGCTAATATTAGATACCACCCATGCAAAAGTTAGCATGCTGTAAGGAGCCAGGAACAAATCAGAGAGAAATGAGAATAATATTGAAGACACTTTAAAAGGCAAACATAGGTTTGCTTTATCATCATTCTACCTTCTCCCTGCAAATGAATTGTCTGTGAAGAACTTTGCTCATAACAAAGTCACATTATGTCTGTGACCATTAGAGCCCAGGTCTAGTTGGAGACCTTGGTGGAAGTAAAGCTTTAGACTTAAACTCGCTAGGAGAACAAGATCTGAGGGCTTTGTTCTTAGCCATTCTCCTATATTAAAGTTTGTCTTTAAATAATAATAAAAAAAAGTTATTTTTCTTATGTGAAAATCAGGGGTATTATGTTGAAAACCTTATACAAGTGCTGAGTGCCCTTCCCTACAGGGCATTTGGGTTTGGAATCAGGAAGAGCCACAGCTTAGTCCTAAATATTCCCTGAGTTCTGTAGATAAAATGCCAGAATAACTGGCGCTTTCAACAGAATTAGCATTTAACCTTTTCTTCTTTTAATGTTCTCCAAATTCCTTTCCCCAGATGTGAGCTCTGGCAGCTCTATGGACTGGGCCTACAAAAATGGCATTCCCTATGCCTTTGCATTTGAGCTGCGCGACACTGGACACTTTGGGTTTTTACTTCCCGAAACACTCATCAAACCAACGTGCACAGAGACCATGCTTGCAGTTAAAAATATAACTCTGCATCTGYTGAAGAAATGTCACTGAAGCTGCGCCTAGGATCTGGAATTCAATGTTCACTTCCAATGTTAATGCCTTATGGTATGTTCAGTTGTCATTCAAAGTCAAACCACTTCAAAACTGTATGACTGGTGTTGATCGTGGTATTGATGATGGTAGTACAATGGTGTTGATCCTACCTGATATACCCAGTGGGAAAAAAAAAAGAAAATCCTTCAATTTTTGCTTTACAGAAATTTGCAAAGTTGATATATGTGTTTAGTTTTCAGTTGATATATGTGTTCAGTACAAAATACTCTTTATCATAAAAATAAAGATTTGAGTTTGCGCCAGTGGCTTCAGCAAGGTAGATCCACGTCCACACAGAGATGCCTGAAAAAAAAACTAGTTCCAGATTATGCCTGTTCTTACTCCTTTGCCAAACAGGAAGACTTCCCATCACAGAGCCTGTGATATAAAAATAAAGTTTACATTCATWAACATATATACACTCTGTGAGCCAACACAGGCCTACAGCAATAAATGGCAGTGTGGCATATAGCTGCAGTAGCCATACTGCAAGGAGCACTGTGGCTTCTGCCTACGCACATATATATACATATATACATAMACACACAAACACATGCGTGCATGCACTTCGGTGATTTTTTTTTCCTGTAACGCAAGAATTTGACCCAAAGTTTCCTTCAATAATTCAGCGATATCTATTTTCAAATGTATATATTCAGGTGGACTCAAATCAAGATATGACCTTTAAAAATGTAGCCTTCTTAGAGAGTTGTACAAATTATAATAAAATATTACGAAGATATACGGAACTCTGCTGCCCAGAGACACCGTGTCTGACAAAGGAACTTGCCGTGGCCTGGAACGTGGAATGAGGAGCCGGCTGGTGCCGCTGGCGTGTGCCGGGGTCAGCATGTGCCCACTTGTACCAGCTGAGGCTCTAGCCTTAAACTGTAATTAACTGGAGTTTTATTTATCGCTGCAGTGAGTTTTATAGGTCTATGGCTATGTGGCTGGTTTTCTGCATGTTTCAAAGGACTCAAAAATAGATTCTTAATTGAGATGGAAGTGAAATCAAGAGCTTTACAGCTGAAACACAGTGAATAAGCATCATGTTTTAAGGAATAATAATGAAAGTACATAGAATGCAGCAAAAAGCTTGCTGATTTGCTGATTTTTTGCATACTTTTAAAATAATATTTTTGACATCATTATATCCAGAAAAGCATATAAAGAATACTTTATCAATTTTGAGTTTAATCTTATGCCATAACATGCTAAATAAATCATATTTCTTAATAAAATCTTCAAAGGCTTCTGAAGCATTCTTCATATTTCATTTTATGGTTAAAAGTCTTAGTTTAAGGATTTATCATTTTTACTTAGTTGTAAAATATTGTTGGCAACTAGTATATAATACTGAAAAAACCCTATATGCTTGCAAAGTACGATAAAGTAGCAACTAGGAAATCTTTATAAGATGGGGGAGCATTATACTTAATTGAGAAAGCCACTTTTTTCACAGATACAGAAGGTAATCAGTGAGCAAAGAACTCATTCTACGTAGGCTCAGCATTTTGTAAAAATGTTTTTTTTTTTAAACAAGCCACCTGAAAGCTTATAGGTTATTTCATACTTGTTTCAATCATGCAAGTTTCTGTGCTGGTTTAATTAAAATCTAGAGGACAGAGGTTTCAAAATACCTATCCATGGCTCACCTCCATTTGCTCCTGACCGTAATTATTAAATATTTTTAAGGCAGCAATAACAGCTTTTTGCCATGCATGGATTCTTGACAGCTGGTTTTGACAGTGGCGTAAATTAAATCTTAGCAGCAATTGCCAAGAGCTATTTTGGATTTAGGTGACAAGATTGAACTGTTAGGAGGACATATCATTGTGAAATGAGGGACAGGAATGAAAGATGCCTAATCAGCACAAGACAAATATAACACTGGCTTGCTAGCGTATTACCTGTCCCGAGTATGGGCCAGGAAAAAGAGATTCAGGTGATATCATCTGACACCTGCTTACAGGCCAACAGTTTTGTCTTCACACCATCACATCTGCACTGATACAGAAACTGACTGAACTCTTGGGGGAGTTCAAGATTTAATAAAAGGTTCTAGCATTGTAGATGCAGTTGAGCTGTTTGGACAGTAATAATTGGAAGCATTTTAACATTTATTTAAAAAGCTCTCTCATTTTACAAGCACTTGATCTGAAAAATACTCAGTAAATAAAGCTCCATTCTGGACAGTGGATGGTCACAGCTTGAATCCTCCATCAGGGAGAATTCCCAGGGGCAGCTGAAAACTCTGAGCTGAGCTGTGAAGACCTATGCAGGGTGGCTTTGTGTCCCCACAGGGTGGAGAGAGTCCAGCGCAGGGCTAGCAGGATGATCAGGGGCCTGGAACATCTGCCCTATGAGCAAAGGCTGAGGGAGCTGGGCCTGTTCAGCCTGGAGAAGAGGAGGCTGAGGGGGGACGTGATCAGCGTGTATAATACCTCAAGGGAGGGAGGGAGGAGGAGGGGCGGCCTCTTTTCAGTGGTGGCCAGGGATAGGACTAGAGGAAATGGCTTCAAACTGAAGCATCRGAAGTTCCACAGGAACTTAAGGAAGCATTTCTTCACTGTGAGGGTGACAAAGCACTGGAACAGGTTGCCCAGAGAGGTTGTGGAGTCTCCTTCTTTGGAGATCTTTAAAACCCGCTTGGATGCAGCCCTGTGCCACGTGCTCTAGGTGACCCTGTATGAGCAGGGGGGTTGGACTCCATGACCTCTGAGCTCCCTTCCAACCTTCGGCATTCTATGATTCTATGATTCTATGATTCTATGATTCTATGATTCTATGATTGATAGTGTAGCCAGTCTCTGCCTCCTTTAATTCTAGGATCCCTAAAGTTGACCAATGAGAAAGTCAGTGGAAAAGGACAAACCCTATTGCCTGAATCAAGATTTTGTAAGAGAATACTTCAAAAGTGATAAGCAAGACCGATTCTGAAGAGAATAATGTACTCTCATGATTAAACGCTGTCTCGGKTACTTGGATATGAACCACAGCCTTTTTAACTTACAAATGTTCATTCCCTGAACAGCTGTTTTACCTCCATTTTACCTCCTCTGCATCTCTCCCATTTGTACTTGTCTTCAGCGGTCTTTATTGCCTACAAGATAACATGATCAATSGCCATTTTTGAGCAGGCTGATTTTATTTTACAATGCTGGGAATAGTTTACAGCTGAACCCAGTAACAAATATATGAACAGCAAAACACTATGATTATTAATCTAGCAGTCAAAACTGCAAGTTTAATGATTGCATGAAACCCAGGAGTGGCATTTTCCATGATTATTGACTGCTTCTGTAACTTGAAAAAAAAAAGCCTCAGACAAGGTTTTGTGAATATCTGGTCTTTTCTTTGATAGCTTTATTTTAAAAAGCTTTGAGATTAATTCCTGTGACAGTAAGAGGCCTGTGCCTTTGCATGTTGCCCTTCCCAAGGGCAAAAAGCATCATCCCAACCCCAGGACGGGCAGTTTCCATCCGGTGGGGACCAGGCAGCATGTGGACATGTCTCCTCTCAGAAACTGCCCTGCAAGTTGGTTTGTCTGTAACCCAAACTGCACGATGCAGCTTGCACTACCTGCCTGAGAACTACACAAAAAGCAACTCTTTATTAAAGCCACTCCATCTAATTCTTAAAGTCAAAGATAACGCAATACATTGACTCCTGAAACAGCTGATGGTTTACCTCTTCTGCTTTATTCAGGTTAAGTAATACCTTCTTTTTTTAATTTAGATTAAATTTAATGGCATCTCCCACCCCCAAAATATAAGGTATTCAGTAGCATGGGTAGAGCAATAAATGTTTTTGCAAGCCTCTTTTTCACCTGGCAGCAAGGCTGCTGTATCTTTTCCAAATTTCGTTGTTACACAACAATCACATCTATTAACAAAAAATGTTAACCTTGTACATAACAGTTTAACGCTTTTTGCTTTTGTGACTATAAGTCAGATGTTGTCATTTCCATTCAGTTCTCAAGTGCCAGTAAACAGAAAAATATCTCAGGTTGTGTAGAGATGCAACTACCGTCCTGCTGTTAAATACAGAGCAAAGGAAGAGAAAACCAAGTAAAAGACATCAAGAGTTCTTAAATATGAACCCCAGGACTTAATTTTATTTCTTAAAACCATTTTTTTCTGAGGTACGCACCACACAAAATGCTTGTTCTGGGCTGTAAATTTTAAAATCTTCCATCCACTGAAAATTTAGACTGTTTCACAGGCTTAATGCATGTTCTGTTTTAATTCTCATTCCAGATAAAAACGTAAGGTCCCAAGAAATGTTGTGAAAGAGGAAATCTGTGCAAGGAATAATTTGTCCTCTAGCTCATTGTGGCAGGAGACTTTTGAGACAAACCTGGGGATCAGCACCCCGAAGCCAGGAATACTGGCTCGAGAGGCTGCTCTGCCTTGGACCAAAGTGAGCCACCCCAATTGACATGGAGGAGAACCTCCCTGGTGCCTTTTGCAGTCTATTGCCCTACGCCTCAAGCACTGGTTGAGCTGCTTCTCAGAAAACCACAGCCATAGGCATGTGGTGTCAGAAGAGCCTTGACCAAAAGGTGCTTCATTAATATCTGCAAATCTGGGATAAATTCACCCTAGGGCAGTGAGCAAGTGGACAGTTAAACCATCTTTGGGCAAGAACATTTAAAATAGGTGAATCTTTAACCTGGAAACCCCTCAATGTTCCTTGTTGCCTGCCAGGCACCAAGGATGAAGCAGAAAGACTGAACTCCTCCGCTTGCAGATCCCTCACAAACTTGCATTCTCCTCTTGGATTCAGACATTAGGGAATGCCTTCATAAATAAAAGATTCAAATGTTAATTAAAAGATTCTGCCCTCTCCCCAGCCATGCAGAAAGTGCCTGTCACAAAGGAAGTCTGGCCATTGCAACAGAGCTCTTAGATATCCGTGTGTTTCCTCTGCCAGACCCACTCTAAGAACTGACCACT